TCTGGTTGTGTGTGACATTGCAGGCGCCAGTGGCATATTCCCTTCCCACCGTCTTGCTCTGAGTCCAAGGAAATTCATCCTGGAAAAATAGTTGTAGGTTGTGTGTTAACAGTAATAGTTTTCTACCTGATAATAGAATTTTTTAATAGAATTGAATTTTTTAAAGCAGTTTTAGTTCAATAGCAAAATTAAGCAGAATGTAGACAGTTCCTTTATGCCTTCTGTTCCCATACATGCCCAACCTTCTTCACTGTCCACATCCTCACCACAGTAGGCCTTTGTGACAAGTGACAGCCTACTCTGCCACATCATTATCTCTCCAAATCCACAGTTTCATTAGGGTTCACCCTTGATGTTCTAACACTCCGAGGATTGGGACAAATACATCATGACTTGCATCTGTTATTGTCATATCACACCGAGTAGTTTTGTGTCTCACTGTTCCCTTGAGGTCCTCTGTGCTCTGCCTAGTCTGTATGCTCTGCCTAGTCCAGGTTCTTTTGTTGTTGATTTTTGGTACTAATAAAAAGCAAAAAGGACTGGAGATATGGCTCAGTGGTAGAACACCCTAAGGATTGAACCCAGGATGTTCTACTACTGAGCTACATCTCCAGTCCTTTTTGCTTTTTATCTTGAGACAGGGTCTCACAAATTGCTGAGGCTAAGCTCAAACTCGTGATCCTCCTGAATCAGCCCCCCAAGCCACTGGGATTTTAGGCATGTATCACTGCACCCAGCTCAAGATTTATTTCTAATTTTTACAGAGTTATTGTGGTGAGGCTGAGGCAGAAGGATTTCAAGTTTGAGGTCAGCCTTGACAATTTATGGAGACCCTGTCTCAAAAAGTAAAGGGCTTGGGATGTGGGAATGTAGCTCAGTGGTAGATTATTTACTTTTGTTACTGGGTTCAATCCTCAGTAACAAAAGTAAATAAATAAAAAGAGTGAAAGAGAGAAAACATTTGGGATTAATGTCAATTACTTTAAAAACCCATGCTTGGAAAAGAAGGATCTTAACTGAAAAACCCACCAGATGAGACCAAGTGACTGTCTCCTCTAGGGAAGGCATCGACCAGTCCTATCAGCTCCTGAGAGACTCATTGGATCTGTATCTGGCGATGTACCCGGACCAGGTGCAGCTTCTGCTTCTTCAAGCCAGACTCTACTTTCACCTGGGAATCTGGCCAGAGAAGGTAATTATTTTACTTTGATGCTTTGCACTTGCCTTAGAGAAGAGAGTTCTAGATTTAAAGGCGGCTGTTACAAGTCCATCCTTTTACTAAAAGGGGAATGTGCACAAATTTACTCAATCTCCAGTCCTAGAATTATTTTCTATTTCCTCTAATTCCAAGGAACATCGGCTCTACTGCCAGGAGTTGACTGTTCCCCTTTGTGGTTAGTCACTTGGCACCCAGAACCACAAAACTTGCCCCGCCACTCACCCACTGGTGCCCAAGCTTTGTCTTTCACGGGTCACCTTCAACACAGGGAAGCAGACAGAATGTGAGACCTTCAGCTGACTTTAGCAACTAAACTTACCATGAATAAGTACCCTGTTTAGCATAGGAAGTCATTCTGGCCACTGAACTAGCTGAGGACCAGTTTTGTTTCCAAAAATGGTTGAATTTTCATGCTATTCACTTGAATGTTCTCAGTTTTGTAATGGCCAGTAGCAAGCAGTGTGAGGAGGTGACAGTGGTGAGATCAGAGCTGGTCTCAGGCAAGTGTGGGTGCAGCACACACGTAGGTTCTGGTTGTGTGTGACATTGCAGGCGCCAGTGGCATATTCCCTTCCCACCCTTGCTGTTCCCTGGACATAGGACAGTGATTCATTTTATTCGTCTAGAACAGCATGGTGAAGGAGCTTGATTCCAAGCTGTCACTGTAATGTCACCTCCCTAGTTATTAGAGAAGAGCCTAATCTTTTTGGAGAACATAAATATCCTAAATGAGCCTACATTGCCAAGATTGACATTGTCTCGTTAGTTTAATGCTTTAAAGATCTAAAGTACATCTCAGAAAACTCATGTGGGGGATATTCCAGTCTCCTATCTCAAGACACTGTCCACAGCAAAGATGGTGCAGGTCTTCCCACAGAAGGTCATAGAGTGTTACTTAGATCACCTGCTCCCTGCAGCTCAGCTGTCTAGAGTGTAATCATCCATTTGAATTTTTAATTTTATTTATTTACTTTTGGTAACAGGATGTACATAGCTGATCTGTCGCTTATTACTTTAGATTTGTGAAGGGATTTCATGCTCATCCATGAAACACCAAGATTCTTTCATTGTGGATCCTATAGTTAAATGATCAGTCTGCCAGAAGGTTATACTGTTGACAGTCCCCTTTGTGAGGCACAGTCTAGGGGTCATCTCAGGTGTCCTTACCCCCACACCTGACTGATGTCAGCACTCACACTCTACTACTGGAAATGGCCTCAGTAGCCCTTGGAGTGATCCTGGGCACCTTCCTGCCAGGCAAGCATTTGTTCAGAGAGCCTTTCTTCCTGACTTGCACTGCAGGGTGCACCTAGCGCCGCTCTCCTCTGGAGGTCAGGAAAGAACCCTGGCTCTTCCCCAGGGCACCTGAGACTCCTTCCCCTCAAAACACATGGTGCTGCATTGGAAGTGGTACCCCAACATGGGGAGGAGGGTAGGGCGCCTAGTGAGGAAGAATTCAGAGGGTACCCAGAGAGAAGGCACCTCTCCAGAGGAAGGCTCTGAGGTGGCCTTTGAAGACTGAGAGCAAATTCAGAGACGCTGGGTCGGGCAGCTGGGGGGAGCAGCCTGTGGGCACTGCAGAGGCCTGGTGTGCGCCTGCAGGGTCAGCCCGACAGGGCCCATCCATGCCTGTGTGTGAAAGCGGGGAGCAGGTGTGAGATGAGTCTGTGAAGCCTTGGGCCTTGTTAGGTAAAGGGGACATGCTGAGCTGGGAGGACCTGAAGATGGCCTTGCTTTCCATGGAGGTAAATCAGAAAGCTAAGAACAGACTGCCTTGGTCATGGTGGCAGTAGTTCAAGGTTGTTGTGGCTGAGATCAGGTCAGGAGTGCCAGGGTCAGGTTTGAAAGTACTAGGGTTTACTGCACATCTCCGCCCTCTCAGTGTCCCCCTTCATACTGCTTTCAGTTTTGCCCTTTGACAAATAACAGGCACTGAGAAGTAACTTACTACGCTCTCACACACGTATGTGGGGGCACCGTGAGTTTCACCTTGGGATGGTGCCTGAGCCCACCCCAGGCATCACCCCATGAGCTTGGGATGGCGGAGGAAGGATCATCTCTGAAGGGGCCAGGATGCTTTGCAGCTGCCAGACCCATGTAGCTGTCCTTTTCCTTTCTCTGCGTTTTAGTGAAGAGAGTGCCCCTCTGATTGCCCAAGGCAAGCCCCTCCCTTCGTGGGTATGAAAAGGGGAGCGCTCCTTGTCAGTCCTACTGGCGCTTGCCTGTGGCACTCCCTTCAGCCCACTTCCTTCCCAGTAACCTTCTCAGGCACTTCCTGGACTGCCCAGTGCCCCCCCTCTCCAGAACATGGGGGTCACTTCAAGGCACTGCTGTAGCCAAGGAAGACAGTGGTCCCGTTTCACTCAAACCATTCTCCTTGCTGCTTAACCCAGTAGGTCCTTGTCTCCCCATCCCTGGGCTGCCCCCCGCCCCCAGAACACTCTGTTCCCTGCGCTCTGTGGTCTCCGCTCCCAGGCCTCCCTTAAGGCTCCACACCAGGTAGGCCCTGGCTTCCTGTCCTCTGCACCTTTCCCCAAAGCAGTTCTGCTCACCTTGTGACCACCTGTACGCTGACACTCCAGACTCTGAGGCTCCAGGATGACTTACCCACAGGTCTTCCACGACCAGAATCTGGTTCTGCATCCCAGCTGGTGGCCATCAGCTTATTGAAAACGACCCTTCTGCAGCCTAGATTGGCACACAGGCCCAGTTTGGTCTCTGCTCTGAGACCCTTTGGACCAACTTAATATGTGGTAACCAGAGTCATCTTAATAAAGTGCACTACTGTTCTTTCACTGCTGACACTCCTCCCACCTCGTGGCCTGAAAGATGAGACTAATGCTCTGCAGTGTGGCCCACGGGTTCTTGGTGGGCTGGCCTTGTCTGCCTGACCTTGTGACTCCATGGGTTGTCCCCTGGTGTTCTGCTGAGCTGTCTGTCGAACTCCTGCCTCCCTGGATGCCCACGCCCAGCCCCAGCAAGGTCAGCTCTCTGCCAGCCCGCACTCATCTGTGGTGCTGCCGTCCCGTCCTCCCTCCCCTGGAACAGCGTGGCCCTTGCTGTAGCTGTTCGTGCTCTCGGCACCATCCCCACACAGAGTAGGCGTTCAGGACATTTTATTTATCTGTTTTCCATTGGTGCTGGGGAGGGAACCGAGACCTCTTAAGTGCTAGGCAGACACTGTGCCCCTGAGCCATATCCTAGGCCTCAGAATCATTTTGGGGGAATAATTGAGAAATGGCCAGACTTCATGGGCTGTGAAAAAGGAGAAGATCCCAATAAGATATCTAGGTTTTACAACAAGGAGACAGTTACGCCAGTATAAAACGGAGTGACTGGAGAATGAGCTTGTTTGGGTCGGGAGAAGGTGATATTACTCAGGGTGTGTGGAATTGTTGCTTGGGGTCATCCATCAAATGCAGATGCCCTGGTTGATGAAGCTCTCCCCCCCCCCAAAAAAAAATGAGTCCTATAGACAGGTGGCTGTCGAGAAAATGAAGCCAAGAACTTGGGGAAAATCTTAGGGAAAACCTGAAACTCAGAGACAGAGCAGGGGTCAGCAGGACCGCCTGCTTCTGTGGGTATGTTCTATCAGACCCAGCTGTGCCAGTTAGAGTACCAATGTCTGCAGCTGCTCTCAAGCACTGGAGCAGCATGGACTAGTTCAGCCCAAAACAGTGACCTTCTAGCCTTGTCCAAAAGAGGCGTTCGGGCCCCTGGCTAGAGGAGGAGTGACAGTGGAAGGAAATGCTTCGTGGGTGATGGGCCCTGTTTTAAGGTCTTTCCTCAAAACTTGTGATACTTGGGGTTCTAGACCTAGAGTATTTGGTTGGGGACAGTGTGGGGCCTCCTGTCAGCACTACCCTCGTGAACACACCAGGCCTCAGGTCACAGCATCTACTCCGTTCCTGCCCTCGCCCCTCCTCAGCACATGGCAGGAAGGAGAGCGTGGTTATCCCTGGCCCTGTCTCCTGGGGCAGTCGGAATCCAGCCTGCCTTGTGCTCGGACTGCTGAGGTGCTAGCCGCGCTGTGCGTCTGGTGGAGAGGGGCTGCCAGAAAGGAGGGGACGCTGCCGAGGTGCCATCGACACTAGCTCACTGGAACAGGATGGGCACACAAGGACGGCCATTATGCCACCACAGCAGATAGAGGCTTATTGTTCAGTAGGATGCTTTTAGCTACAAAAAGTAAATGCCACTACTGTCCCCAAATTAAAAGTACACTATTGGAGGTGGGAAGTGGATAGGGATTGGCTGACAGTGGATTCTTGTTGAATCTGCTTTGGGGTACTTGAGGTTATGCTATTCTGTCCATTTTTATGTTTTTGAAACATAACATTTGATGAAAATCTCCTACTTTAATATTCTTGTGAATGATGGGTGCATGCACACACCTGTAGTCCATGGTACTCAGGAGGCCAAGGCAGGAAGATCACAAGTTCAAAGCCAGTCTGGGTTACTTAACAAGACTCTGTCTCAAAATAAAATACATTTTAAAAAAAAGAAGGTGGCCTGGGGATATAGCTCAGGGGTAAAGCACCTCAGGGTTCAATCCCTAATAGTGCAAAATAAATTTAAAATACAATAAAATTAAAAAGCTGAGGCTATGGCTCAGTTGTATTTGTAATACTTGCATAGTATTTGTAAGGCCCTGGGTTCAGTCCCCACTACTGAAAAAATAAGATGTTCCCACTCTTGCTCTGATACGTGGTGTTGAAACGTTGGGTTGATAGTCAGACCCAGGGCTGTGTCTTCAGAACCCTGTGACCTTGGGCAAGCCTTATTTTATGCCACTGAGCTGGGTTCCTCTTTTGGAAGTCAGCCATGACTGCATGGTATAGCGCCCAGCAGAGAATCAAATACTGAAATCATCATCAGGAAATACTGAGATACTCCATATAGAAGACAAGATTGGCATTTGGAACAATATCTAGGTTGTGTGAAACTGTAGTTTTCACAACATTTTTATGTGTTAAGAAATAGGTAAGTCAGTGCTTCGTCATCGTTGGATAAGAAAATGATTCAAAAGTGAAAACAGCTAGTTTGACAGATCTGGGACTAGAGTCCAGGTTGTCTTCACCACTAAACGTGATAATTTAGGACTCGGTAAATTAGAAGGATAGGCTCATCAAGAGACCTGTTGCATTCTTAGCAACACCACAGGTGCTAAACAGGGTGAGAGAGAGAGAGAGAGAGTGTGTGTGTGTGTGTGTGTGTGTGTGTGTGTGTGTGTGTGTGTGAGTGTGTGAAACTTGAGTGTTTATTTTCTCAGAGGCACTGAGCACAGCAGAGACTGTGACAATGTAGACAGTCCTGCTCCTCCCTGCTGCTACTTGAAGCTCTGCATAGATACAGTGTCTCCCCCTGCCCACTGGAATGCTGAGTTCCATGTGAGTGAAGACTGTTGGCGTGGCCAGCAAGACTCTTCCTCAAGTATGGCATCCCTTGGGTGCCTGGTCAGTGACCCTTTCCCTCTTACCCAGCCCAGAGGCAGTAGTGTCAAAAGGTCTTTTTCATGTATTAAAACAGCTTAAAATTTTTCCCTCTCAGTGCATGAGTGGCGGGTAAAATAAGTCTCCTTACTGTGTTTAAAACAGCTGGCATTCCCACAGTGTCCATGCCGACCGAGAACATGAGGCCCTTCTGTGGCCCCCCTAGTCCAAATGTGCAGCAGATGGCAGCCCCTGCCGTCCTTTATCAGGTTATGTAGGTAGGTCTGAATCCCAAGCTGCGAAAAAGAAAAGGCCTAGCTGAAAATATTATCTCCTAGTCTTTCTGTCTTGTCTTGAAGGTGCTTGACATCCTCCAGCACATCCAGACCCTCGACCCCGGGCAGCACGGGGCGGTGGGCTATCTGGTGCAGCACACGCTCGAGCACATCGAGCGCAAAAAGGAGGAGGTAGGCGTGGAGGTCAAGCTTCGCTCTGACGAGAAGCACAGGGATGTCTGCTACTCCATTGGGCTCATTATGAAGCATAAGAGGTGAGTGTCGTGGGTCCTCCTGTCCTCCGGAGCCATCCCAGTGGGCGCAGGAGACAGCTGGAGGAGGATCTGCCTCTCGGAGCAGCAGCTGGGTGCCCCTGATCACTACCTCACCGAGTGCCCGCCACCGAAGACAAGGCTGAGCTGCCTCTTCACATTTGTTTTTAAGCAGTGACTCACTTTTCTAACTGACCTCCAGACCCTTCTCTGTGCAGGAAGATGCAAGCAACTCTACACACAGAGTTGTTTCTCATTTCTTCATTGTTCTTAACCTCTTCCCCTTTAACCTCCATCTCTTCAAGTCTGAGTCGTGGGTATGGATTTCTGACGCCATAGTCTGTGCATGTGCTCTGTTTACCAGGCCAAACGGACCTCTCCAAACTGACGATACTGGTTCACATCCCAGCGACAAAGGAGGAACTGAGAGTTCCTGTTAGCACCAACAAGTGTCACTGCTAGACCTTTAAAAATGTCCTTAAGTGTCCTTTGTTATGGTGTTAATTTACATTTCCCTAATTCCCAAGCAGGCTGAGGTTCTTTCTATAGGTTTCCTGACAACCAGGCTCCCTTCAGGAAGTGCTGCTTCAGGTGCTTTGCTTATTCTCTGCACAGTACCCATCTTCCATACTGACATGTCATCATCCTGTCCTTGTTCTGCACACTGGTGTCTGTGTGACAAGTCGCAGCTGTCTTCTCAGGTTGGGAATTCCATTCCTTTAGTGTGTTCTTTTTTTAAAAACTTTGTTATGGAAATTTCCACACACAGAAGAGTAGAGAGGGGAGTGAGAAGAACCGAGGTGAGGTTCCTGTCACGGGGTCTCAGGAGCGCTCTCATTGCCCACCTCCACCCTTCGTCCCCTCCTCCCCACTGTAACTCACACCAGGTGCCATTCCATTGCATACTAGTTCGGTATGTGTCTTCAGAAGGGAAAGGCTCACTCGCGCTCCCTTTAATACATTTACCATTATTCTGTTGTCACATCGAAAAATAAGCAGTTCTTGAGCCTCACCCAGCATCTTGTCCAGAGCTGTTTCCCGGGTTACCCTGTTTTTGATGGAGTCTGTCTGAATCAGGGTCCTTTATTCTCTTAATTGTATTGCTATCAAATTAATTGGTTTTCTTTGTGAATTGTATTTTTAGCACCTCATTTAAGAATTGTTTCCTGTCAAAGATACTTTATTTTAGAAGTCCTTCGTTGCACACCTAGGTCTTTGCTTTACTAACGATCACTGTTGGCATGTTGTGATCAGGTCAGTGTCCTGATGCCTTTACTTTTGGATGACCAGTTGCCCTGTCACTCTTCATTGAAAAGTTCAGTCTTTTCTAAATGAAAAGTGGTGTGTTGACAGTAAGAGCGTTTATAGAGGGGCAGGGTGGCCCGAGCCTCTATACTAACACGAGTAACAGCAGGTGAATTGGTAAAAACATGAACTTAAGAGAAGTGAAGCCATTATCTCTGTGTTTCACAGGCGCTGTGACAGGTTCCCAAGGAGTTGACTTGTCATTCCTCCTCTGTTGGTCAGGTATGGCTATAACTGTGTGATCTACGGCTGGGACCCCACCTGCATGATGGGACACGAATGGATCCGAAACATGAACGTGCACAGCCTGCCTCACGGCCATCACCAGCCCTTCTACAACGTGCTGGTGGAGGATGGCTCCTGTCGATACGCAGCCCAAGGTGAGAGGCTGGCCCTGTCGGGACATTCCACGACACCTGGGCATATTTTAAGCACAAATTTGAATACTCATACGTGGGTCTTCAGTACATTTAGAGGTGGCACTGGTCCTATGGCTAACCTCGTAGGACCATACTCAGCTAAACATGGCTGGGTGCTCACTGGTGTAGCCCATGTCCTCTGTCCTCCTGATACTGGCTGCCAGTTGTTTTCTCTCGTTTCTTCGTTGTTCTTAGCCTCTTCCCCTTTTGATCTCCATCTCTTCAAGTCTGAGTCCCGGAGATACCCTCGGCTGGCCATTTGCGGGAACTGCAGTCCACACTACTGGCGCTCAGGGTCAGCAGGCATTGGTGACCCTTGATAGGTGTTTGTGGCTACTGCCCTCCCTAACAGGTGCCAGCCCAGGGCAGATCTGAGATGGGGGCCATTGGGACTGAGATGGAGGCTGGAGGACAAAAAACCCTCAGCAAGTCTGCCTTCTCTTTGTCCCCAATGCTTTCCACCTCTTTCTAATAGGTCGGATTGGTTGTATGCCTGATTGCCAAGGGTTCACATTAATTTTATTAACACGAGTGCTTACGGAACAGGCAGGCAGCAGCCTAATGTGTGTCATCTCCATGTGAGAACCCCTGTCATTTTTATACCTCCTGAGACTGAGGCGCGTGAGGCCAGTTACTTTTAACTTGGGAGAATGAACTTGAAGCCGGCTTGACAGAGAACTTCACCCTCACCCATCATGCCAGACCTCTTCATTTCTGGCCTGAAACATGAGGCTTGACCTTTGTAAATCCAATAAGAGAAACAATTAATATATAAAAGTGCCAGAAGTTTACAAAAGGCTGGGGAAAGTTTTTGTGTTAATTACTGTTAATTCATCAAGAGGCTGAGAGAGGATCCTCCAGAGCAGTAACGTCAGAAGTCTGTTTACTGCCACCATAGATCATTTCCCCATGGCCCTTGTGCTGGGTGAAGTATAAGAGGATTTTGCTGGGCTTCCCATGTCAGATAGGCTGTGGCAGTCATGTTTTAAAAGCTACATTAAATCAAAAGTCATACAAATACTTTCTAAAAATCAAAAAGTGATTTGGAAATTATTGAATGATTTGCTGGACCATTTGTACCACCACTAATTCTTTAGTGAGCCATTTCATACTGTGCTTCCTGCAGCATTTTGCAGGAATAAAGGAGAACTTTCTTTTTATCAGCACCCTGTACCAGTGTCCACAGCTGCACAGCCTGCAGTCCCTGTCCACATGGAGGGCTGGTGTGAAGACTTGCAATCTACACAAGTTTCTGGAAACATTTATATTGACTTGAAAATGGGCTTTTTGGAGTGGGTGTCTGAATTATCCTGTTGAAGATTCTGGAATTTATCCTTCATCAAATCTAAGTAACATGCAGTTGTGAGGTTTGCAACAAATAACATTGAAGAACATTTAATATCTGGGTATCAGTGTTACCATCTCTAAAGTGGAGATTGATCTAAGTGGTTGTGAGTAATGTTAGCAAGTTGTCTTGCTTAATTTTAAGTTTTGAGACATGGAAGGTCCTAAAACCTGAAAAGCTGCTTTGGCCCGCAGAGTCTATCTTTGCTGGCAGTTCTGTGGGCACTTGGGACTTCAGTGCTTCCTGAGGGCCAGAGTGAAGGGGAGGGAGTCTTCATGTGCTCCCCAGGTGTGTCAGCACACCTGCTCCTCAGGGTGCTCCCTGCAGCTCTGGGCGCTCTCCTTGGCTCTTGCAACCTTGGTAACCGTTTACATGCTGGTGACTTTCAAAGCCGTATTTCCATCCCGAGCTTCTGGGCTGCACGCCTGCATCTTATAGTCCTTGGTCCTCTGCACACAGTGGGCTCTTAGGATCTTCAGGTGCCTCTCAAAAAAAAAAAAAATTCCCCTTTCTTAGCACTAGGGTTTGAACCCAGAGATGCTTAATCACTGAGTTACATCCCCAGCCCCTTCAATTTTTAATTTTGAGTCAGGGTCTTACTAAGTGGCTGAGGCTTGAGACTGACCTTAAATTTGTAGTCTTTCCTCCCTCAGCCTCCTGAGTAGGTGGGGTCACAGGCTCATATCACTGTGCCCAGCTTAGATGCTCTTAACACTGGACTCCCGGTGCTGCCCCTGCTCCAGCCTGCTCCTGCGCGTCATCTCACTGTGTAGCACCGGTTGGGGACCAGCTCTGCCTTCTCTGTTTCTTCATCCTCATGCATCCAGCTAGTCAGATGCATGCCCCCACCCCATCCCCGGCCCCGGGCCTGGCACCTCCACTGGGTGTGCGTCTTTCCCACCTGTGTTATTGCACACTTGCTGCCGAGACAGAATGCACGGTGCTCTTGGCGGTCCAGGCGGCTTTGTGTCCACCTGTGCAGCTTCCCTTCCATCCCCACCTTCATGCTCCAGCCCGGTCCATGGTTCTCTCCTTGCAGTTGACCTTTTGCTCTCCTTCAGCTCTTTATGCAGGTGGCTGCCCCTCAGGGTTAGGAGGTCCCTCCCTCTCAGAAGCTTCTCTCAGCCCTGCCCTGCACCTTCCACCTTCCTGAGCTCCCCATCTTCCCAAGTCGGAGCACCTCCACATCCATGGTCTCCTGGGGGATGTAGTTGCTGAGTGTGGCCGTTCACTCCGATACGGCCCAGCACTGTGGGTCATCCAGACCCCAGGAGACACTCACGTTTGGCTACAGGATGGGAGTTCCTGTCCTAGGGAGGGAGGGGGGGACTTTTAAACACAAGGGCCCAATAGTGAGAGAAGTGCAGGTTCCTCTTGTGGTGAACAAGAGGCTCATTATTTTTTACAACTTTGGGTTAAGAGCATTTTCAAACAGATGAAATAGCTAAAAGAAGAGATGGGATAGCAGACCCCTTCCCTCTGGAGATGGATGGAGGGCCTCAGGTTTTGCTGTGCTAGTTGCAAGAATGCTGCAACATCATGACCTCAGTACTCACTCTTGCTTCTTCTAAGAACAAAGACGTGTCGCGTTGCTGAAGTTCCAGAACCACCCCTACCAGACAAGTCACTTCGTGGTGGCTGACGTTCAGTGAGTGTTCAGAGGTCCCCATTGCCACAGAACTTTTGTAGCTGTTCTTTGTTATTGTTATTTGAAAGTGAGGATCCAGCCAGGGTTGCGTACTGAGTCTGGTTGTTCCTCTTCAGTCTCTTGTTCAATAACAGTGCTCGCTCTTAATGCTCCTTGTCCTTGTTCCTCTTCACCGTGACTCTGGCTGGTTGAAGGGTCCGAGCTGGTTGTCTTATGAGCTGTTGAGCTTTCAGAATTTGTCTCCTTGTTTTCTTACCTGTGTGTTGTCCTACAGACCAGAAGTTTTCTGGAGCTTGATTAGATCAGGTAAATATTTTCCTAAGGAAGTTTAATGTCAGGTGCTGTGTGCTCCACTCAGAGGCCCCTGGGACTCAGTGACCCACCATCACTGATGCTGAGTTTCACCAGATAGCAACTTGCTAAAAGGGACAGTTTTCCCTTTGCAATTAGCAGAAAATCCATGGAGTCACACTAGCATCCCATGAATGTCCCTTCTCTGGTGACCTGTAATTCTGTGGTTTGCTCTGGCATCTGTTGGCTGTCCCTCCCTAGGTCATTCTGTGAGAATTGCAGTCTGGGGCCTCTGTGTTCCCCCAACAGCTTCCTGTGCTGCCCTACCTCTCCCAACCCCCCAACCCCCGCCCCCCATAGATGCCTGGATTTTTATTTAATCAATGTATTGTGATTGTTTGGAACAATTTTATGCTCACATGAGCCCATATTTAGCCAGTGTGAGACCTTCAGAGGCTAAATTTTTAAAACACTCAGATGTGGTTTTAAACATTTCTGGGTTATTTTATTTGCATTTGATTTGGTTTTAGCTGGGTGTGGTGGTGCACACCTATAATCCCAGCTTCTCAGGAGGTTGAGGAAGAAGGATTGCAAAATTGAAGCCAGCCTGGGCAACTTAGCAAGACCCTGTCTTACAATAAAGTAAAAAAGACTGGAGGAATGGCTCAGTCTGGAGGAATGGATCAGTGGTAGAGCGCGCCTAGCACGGGTGAAGCCTTGGGTTTAACCCCCATACCACAAATGCCCACACACAATTTGTTTTTAAAACTTGTCTTGATCTAAATTTTCAAGCCTTGTCTCCAGTGATTCTACTAACCTGGGTAGAAATCATTAATAATGCTTTTATAGTTATTAGCCCACCACAGAGTGTTGAAAAATAAATTATAAGCCATAAACCTGTATAATATCTTTAAACAAGAGAATTCTTCCCTTGAGATGCCAGATTTCTCCTAAGCATCATCTTGCATGTATATAACCTGTCGTACCCACCAGGGGGCATGCTTTAACACTGTGGCTGCTGTCCCTGCTGCCCTGTCTATTTCTTAGATAGCAGGGAAGACCAGTGTGGTGAATGCTGGGGACAGAAGTCAGCTGCCCACATTGGAAGGTCAGGAATTCAACTGCCATGTGAAAATCTGGTTCTTACATGCTGTGCCTGTAAGGGTGCAGTGTACCTCGTGGGGTGCTCTGAGTGTGGTGTGCTCTCTCCGAGTGGTAGTTCCCTTCCCCTAATTTTTCTTATACTTCCACAGTAAACTCTCCACCCACTTAAACAGTCCATGGGAATCTGCATATGCTGGCAAGTGTGATGACCTGAGTGAGGATCCCCCATACAGGGGTGGGGCGTAAAATGTCATATAAATTGTAAAAGTCTCAAGCACCGTTCATTTGCAGCCTAGCCCACCCTTTGGTCTCTTGAGACACATTCAGACATATGTATAGACGCCCATGGTCCCTTGTTCAAATAGCAGCACAGTGATCATTCGTGAGGACTTGCCTGGGAAACGGGGGCCTCTCCAGACTGTGGAATACCAAGCTGCAAGTAAATAAGCCGGTTGCAGGTGTTTAGAGAGATTTGTGAAAATAAACACACGACAGTACCAAGACTCCTCCAAGGATATACGGGAGATTCACACAGGACCATAAAGACACACTGCTGGTCCTTCCCCACAGGAGGGGGCACCAGGACAGGGCCCTACCCACGGAGGAGTCAAAGGTCCTCCTTCCATAGTATATATTCGTATATTTTCAGGCAGCTGAAAATTTAAAATTAATTAAGCAAACACATTCTCTGAAAACTTCAAGGGAATCGGGGAGATGTCTCAGGATTTTACAGCATTTTTAAGGGTCCCCTGGTTCATCTTTTGCTCAATTAAGTTTTATGGTTCTGAGGTTCATCCTTCCTTATCAAGTACAGTCTTTGAACCTTCTGATGTAGTGACTTGGTCTTGTCCCCTCACAGTACACAGTTGCCAGCTTTGTGATGTTTTCTGCTGTAGAGGAACGTGCTCTACTTTCCTCTGCTCCCTGGGGCTGGGAGCCAAGCAGGCAAACGCTCCGCATCCCACCAGGCTCTCCAGCCGCCGGAGTGCTGGGTCACCGTCTGCACCTTCGCTTCCCTCCTGCGTGCGCCCCAGTGCTGCCTGGACATTTCACAACAGCCTTGGTTGGGGCCCACACCCAGAATTCTGTGTAACAGCTGCCTGGACGTGTTGTCCCAAGATCTGAGGACAGTAGCATCTTTTCTTCCCTCTTGCCAATGTGCAGAGGCCAAGAGCTATGGGCATCAAGCTGCTGCTCTGCATCACTGGGGTTGGGGCGGCTGCTACTCCGCATGTCTTGGTTTCTTTTTTTTCTCTTTATATATATATATATTTAGTTGTAGATGAACACAGTACTTTCATTTATTTATGTATTTTTATGTGACGCTGAGGATGGAACCCAGTGCCTCACACATGTGAGGAAAGTGCTCCGCCTCTGAGCCCCAGCCCCAGCCCAGCGTGTCGGTTTCGGTTTCTTTAGAGCAGGTCCCCCTGACCTGAGCACGGCCGCCATTGTGGCCCACCTGACTCTTCGTGATGGGACCACCTGTGCGCGGGAGGGAGTTTGGCAGCATCCTGAGCTCTGCCCGATACCAGCCAGTAGCAACTCCCAGTTCTGACAACCAAAAATGTCTTCAGGTATTGCCAGGTGTCCCTTTGAGAGCAGAGTGGCCATCATATGAACACCAGTGCTCCCACAAACTGGCCTCAAAGCAGGTGGACTGTCTCCATCCTGCCTGTCACTGAGAGGCATAGGGAGTAGTCCCTTAGAGCCAAGGGCACTCGATCTCTTGGTATCCCCAGGTCCTTTCCCTTCCTAATATTCCTACCAGCAAATCCGCACGTGGCATCCTTGGTAGCTGCCTGGTTAAGGCACAGGCCTGTTGCCCTCACTGTAGGCCCTGCACAGAGAATGTGCCTGGGACTGGATTGCAGGGACAGCAGAGGGCATTTTCGGAGTGTGCAAGCCACCCAGCTTCCATCTTGAAAAACCAAGGTCCCGTGGCCGTGACTCTGAGCACCAGCCCCCTCACTCTGCTCCCTCTTCACAGGGGCAGACAGTGTGGGGACCCCCCGTAGCACCATTACATCTGGTTCCCAGCAGCTCTGGAGGAGCTGGTCCTTGGGCAGGTCCTTCCTCTGTACTGCATCTTGCCTGGCACAGGAGGTATCAAGAGGGGCTCTGGGCTGTGCTGTGAAGCTACCCCAGCGCCTGGCACGCTGTAAGCCCCTGATTTAAAAGAATCTGTGAGAGACAGCCATCCATGCTACATAGTGTCCTGGTAGCTGGCATTGGTTTTTCTAAGGCTTTTGCTTTTTGGGGAGGCGGGTGGTACTGGGGATTGAACTCAGGGTCATTCAACTACTGAGCCATGTCCCCAGCCCTATGTTGTAATTAAAGACAGGGTTTCACTGAGTTGCTTAGCACCTCGCCATTTTTGAGGCTGGCCTCAAACTGCAATCTTCCTGCCTCAGCCTCTTCAGTTGCTGGGATTATAGGCAGGGGCCACCATGCCCATTGGCTTTCTGGTCTAAGTATAGTGTGTGTTTCATCCCCATCTCCCCCATAGCTTCCACCTTCCTTCACTGCCCAGTGTTTTGCTGAGTTAATGTGCCATTACTTTTATTTGCCCAAGGATGCAAAGTTGATTTTACCAACATTGCTTAAAAGCTTCCATAAGTGCTAAAGTAAACTAGATGGGTGGTGCCTCTAATCCCAGCAATTTGGGAGGCTGAGACAATATGACAAGTTTAAGATCACAAGTTCAAGGCCAGACTCAGCAACTTACCAAGACCCTGTCTCAATAAGGGCTGAGGGTGTAGCTCATTGGGGTTTCAGTCCCCAGAACTACAATTTTTTTTAATTAGTGCTAAAGTAATCTCCATATGTTCATCCTTGCACATTGTTTATGATTTCTTTAGCAGCACTGATTCTTAAACTGATACATTCCTTGCCACACTCTTAAGAAACAGCATATTAGCACAGAATTCCTTTAGACCCTCTTGTTTTGTGGCGAAGAGGAGAAGCATAGATGGAGTCACCCCACTCTTTCCCTCGCTCCAGAGGCAAACGTCAGGCCAGGTCAGGCCTTCCAAAAACTGCCTGCATTCACCTGTGTGCCCTGGAGGTGCCAGGACTCTGCATGCCCTGAGCTGTGCGCCGAGATGTCTGTTGCACATCGAGACTTCATATGTCCCGTTTGTGTTGGATTGTCTGCGCACAGCATGGCTTTGTCTTGATGGGACAGAGGCTGCCGTGGGTGTTCCACCCCCCCAGCTCCTTCCTGGAGCTGGGTGATGGAGGACATGGCTGGGTTTCTTCCAGATCAGAGGTCAGACCCAGTCTCCTGCTAGCAAGAAAGGGTGCACAAGATGCCATCCTTCCGTTGGTCCCCTGGAGGAGCCATGTCTCGAGTTTGTGGGAGAGACTGAACCTGTCAAGGACTTCACCCTTTAAACACCTTGCCTATAATACCATTTTTTAAAAATTTTTTTAGTCGAAGTTGGACACAATACATTTATTTTATTCATTTACGTTTATGTGGTGTTGAGGCTCGAACCCAGGGCCTCACACATGCTAGGTGAGCGCTCTACCACTGAGCCACCACCCCAGCCCCCCCCCCCAGTATAATGCCCTTTTGTATAATTCCATTTAAAGCTTATTTCTAGTTATCTAGTGGCAAAGTGGAGAGGGAAGAGGGCCGGGCCTGGGCTGCTGGGTCTTCAGGGCCCGCCTACTGGTGCTCAACTCGCTGGACCATGCAGGAGCTCTGGGAGGTGGCCGGGAACCCTCTTGGTAGCAGAATCGTGGTGGGTCTGAGGCGTGTACCCAGGTGCAGGTGGCTTCTGAAGCTGAGCCACTGCAGGAACGAGTGAGCAATAGTTACCCTATTGTGGCCTTGGGCTATTGATTACTAGGGCCTGAGGGGTATGACAGGACCCTAGGTGGCCATTCAAGGAGACTCCACTGGATTGTTGTCACCAAATATCTTGCTCAGAGAACAGAAAATTGTTTCTCTTCCCTGTGCAGCCATGGGGGGCCTTTGCCACCTCCCCAGGGCCACACCCTGCCTTTTTCCAATCACCTCTAAACTCCATGAACTTCTGTGGTCTTTCCTTTTCACCACCTCAAAAATGCCACTTGACAGGAGTGACGGGGTGCTCTGGAGAAAAGACGCTGCTGAAGCTGAAGCATTAACGAGAATGTCCCTGTGCCTCTTTGCCAACAGAAAATCTGGAGTACAACGTGGAGCCTCAGGAGATCTCTCACCCCGACGTGGGGCGCTACTTCTCGGAGTTCACGGGCACTCACTACATCCCCAACGCGGAGCTGGAGATCCGGTACCCTGAGGATCTGGAGTTTGTCTATGAAACGGTGCAGAATATTTACAGTGCAAAGAAAGAGAGCATAGATGAGTAGAGTCCAGAGGACATCGTGCCTTTGCCGCTGCTGCTATCTCCCAAGAGAACAGGGTTCCGGCGGAGACTCTCCAGGAGCCCTCTGGACTCACTGTCAGCAAAGCCACTGCACCAGTGGGCTGGTCGCCTCCTCCCCAGTTGAATGACGTGTGCTCTCCGCCAGCTGCAAAGACAATGTCGCTCTCCGCCTACACTAGTGAATTAACTCGAAAGGCACTGTGTTCAGTGGCATGGCTTGTATGCTTGTCCTGTGGTGACGTTCGTGACATTCTGTCCTCATGAAGTCTCACAGCCAACACCTGTTCTTTTTATCCACTGCCATCCTCTGTCTGTCTCCATGTCTCAGAACATTTCACTCGCTGGGCAGATGGGCTTGTCCATTTGCAGTAATTTCTTTCTGATGTCTCCGTGGGACGTGTGCGGTCTTGAGTCAGGCTTGTCTGTCTGTTACCCTGAATTTCCTGGCGTATTCGGAGGTAAAGTCGTTCGCTGTCTTGGCAGCACCTTGGAGATGGAGACGTCAACAAGCAAATGGTAATTAGAATCTTTAGAACTTTATTTTCTTGCTGATACATGAAACACAGATTTTAAGTGTTTGCCTCTCTCTTTTTTTTAATTTAAATTGGGAGAATAACAGTTTTCCCTTCCAAATTCCTCTCTTGGAATTATGCACATTTCTATAAATCATGAGTTTTCTATTTTATTACATAAGATTCTTTAGAAAATGCATAATAATGGCTTTCGTGGATTTTTCCACATTCATCTTCTGTTTCTTTAAAATGACTACTTTATTTTTAATCTTAAAAAAATCTGCTCCAGTATCATGAGTAGGTCTTAAATCAGTGATGGGTTCTTTTTTTTTGTAGTGAGCCACACAGATCTGATGTTGAAATAGTCTCTCTCATAAATTGTACTCTTCTGGTCTCCAAAGACCAAAAAGTGGGGTTCCACTTTTCTAATCGAAAAGAAAGAAGTAATGAACCTTAATTTTCTTTTTAAAGAAGGAGGGATTCCACGCCCTTGTCATTCCTTAGAGTCACTTCCAGACCCTTTGAATGTGGTGGGGTAGAAAGAAGTCAGTGTCTTTCATGTGAAGCGTGTTGGCTGGTGGGAAAAAAGGGGTGTGTGTGATCTGGCTTCTCGGGCCATCGGTGCCCTGAAGCACCAGGACGAAGCCTGTGTCCTAGTCACTTGGGAAAGCCTGGTCCTGCTCGGGCTGCCTGGCTCCTTTTCCATGTTCTTAGTAACTGAGCTGAAGGGACCGAGTCTGCAGCTCTGGAGTTGCCGCCACTCGCCACCTGCCAGTTCTCAAGTGAGCTAGCTTGTGATTAGCCATAGAGCTCACTCCTGGAGTTAGGACTTAGTTACTTTGCGCTCTGCGTTTAAAATGCATAATCCATTTGCTGTAGCCAGCGAGGCTTTAGGAGGCCGCAGTCCAGCCAGCCTCGCCACGTGTCTGCCATTTGCATGCAGTATTCTCACCGCGTTGAATGACTGCTTCTTGTTTACCCTTTGGAAACCCTGGGATGACCAAGGTTCGGGAACCCACCTGAGACCACTTCCTAACAAGTGAAGGCCACTAGGCGGTTACTGGAAGGAGATGGGGACTTGGCCCGCCGGCTCCTTCCGCCTGAAGTAGCTGCCACCCAGTGTCTGTGTTCCTCATCAGTCAAATCCAAAGTCAGGTGATTTGAACTTGCATTTGAAAATGTGACCACTCACAACACCTATCCTGCCGGAGGTGGCAGGATTTCACACTACTCTCGCTTAAGGGTAAAAATTAGATAATATGGAATTAACGTTAATGAGATGCATTACTAAGAAACCTTGGAGCATGCTGAGTTATAACTGTTGGTTTTTCGGTTTGATTTCCTTTTTTCTTAGAGTAACATCAAAGCCAAGAAAGATGGTTTTACCTTTACTGACCCAATTGTAAATATGTATCTAGACTGTTTTTAAATGTGTTTCCTCATGAATGCTTCATTTGGCTCCAGGAAGCCTGTATCACCTGTGTAAGTTGGTATTTGGGCACTTTATATTTTTCTAAAAACGTGTTTTGGATCCTGTACTCTAATAAATCATAAGTTTCTTTTTAAAAAATTTTCCAAAAGTTTTCTCCATTTTAAAAAGCCCTGTTATAAAAGTAGAACTTTCACAATGTTAAAATATGAAATATTTGGATATAGCAACTTCTTTTCTCTTCAAATGAATGCCAAGATTTTTTTGTATAATGATTAATAAATGGAACTTACCCAGAGAAAACCATGCAAATGGCCTGCCCAATTTCGTTTCAGAACAAAAAGCCCAGCCGCAATGAAAGAAGGATCTCTAACCTCTCTTCTGATGGAGTGTGAAAGGTTTGCCCTGTGAGTCCTTGACAGTGGGGGGGTGCCCGTGTGCCCCTGGGTTTCCAGGCTGTTACTTTACCAGCTATAGTAGCTTTACAGTCCTCTTGTCATGCAAATACCGCACCTGTTTAATCCTGTGAAAATACACATCAACTGAGAGCTGCAGATGTCTGCAGGAGAATCAGGTCTGCAGTGTGTCTCTTGTCAGTGTCGCCCAAGCACTGCGCTTCGCACGGTGGACCCAGTGTCCTCCGCAGCACGCCTCTGCCCTATTACTGCCGTGTGAGGGCAGTAGTTAGGGCTACACAGGGTCAGCGATTTCCTGCCGTCGTGTTCCTCCCGGCCATTAGCACACTGCTGTGCAGAGTGACTTTCCCAGGAGGGCGGACAGCGGGTCGAGTCTTCCTAACCTGGTAGGACCTAGAATTCTCACTCCTGGAGATGCTGGTGGCTGTGTTGCATGTGTGTATTGAGCTGCGGGCCAATGTGGAGCCAGGACTCCTGGTAACCCCCCAGAAGCTCTGTGGGCAGGGCCTGTTGGCAGGCGCGGACTGTCTGTTGCATGTCCTTCATTATCAAGATGTAAAAAAGTATCCTGACTCAAGAGCTCTACAGAAGTAGGCTGCAGGCGTGGTTGGCTGTGGGCCAAGTTCTGCTGACCCTGCTGAGATGTGCGTGGGCTAAGGTTAGTGCCCACTGCAGGCAGGGAAGTCCAGATGGGACGGCAGGTGGGTGGTGGGAACCCAGGTCTCCCAAGGTTGCCAGGAACCCGTAGCTCCAGCCTTTCAGAGCCACACTGTCAATAAGGAGCAACTCCCTTGCCTTACTTTGTCCCCTGTGGTATTGAGATGGCACCCAGAGCCTCGTGCACACCAGGCAGGCGCTCCACGCTGAGCCATGCCCCCCCCAGCCCCCTCGCAGCTTTATCATTTTAGTTCTGAAATTCTAGAATCTTGAGACTCTAGGACTTCCTTCCTTGATTAAAATGTGCAAATATAGAATAAACATGGCCACTTGGCAGTGATTGCATTAGGGCAGTGCTAGATCTATAATATAGACCCCAGAACACTGTGGCTCAAACCCAAGAGAACTTCCCTGCAGGGGTGACCCTGGGCGGGAGAGGGACACCCCACATCGCGGCCCTCAACAGGCATTTGGAGGCTGTGTAAGTGGCTTCTGAGAGTCCTGGGGCCTGTGCACCCAGCCCTTAGGAGCGGTTTCCCTGAGCCTGGTGTAGAGACACTTCCTGCACCACCCATCCCACACGGGAGGTGGGACTTGCAGTCCTCATTCCAGTGAAGAGGGCCTGTTGCCACGGTCCATCCTGGAGTGCCACACCATGCCACCTGTGTTGACAGGCATCACCAGTCTCCGGCTCAGTCACCCCGTCTCAGCAGGATGCAGTGGGGTACCCCTTACAGGTCCTGCTGCTGTGGTGAATTCAGACCCCCCCCACACAGATGGCTGTGGAAGGGGAGGAGAGGGTCGGTCCTCCTGGCAGGGGGATGTTACATACGCTGTACCCACCTCAAGCCAGAACTTGAGTTACATGGCTGCACCCCAACTCCAGAGGCTGGGGAGTCCATTCCTGGTGGGACATTTACAGTGGGGGCTCTGCCCTGTGTGCCCCCCACCCTGCGTGGCCTCCACCCGAGGTTCCTGATGGGCTCTGCAGGTTCTCCCTCGGCCTTGGGGACCAGTGACTGACAGCCCCAAGTCCCTTTTGGAGATGAAGCGGGGACTGGACACCTGTTATCAAAGCTCTCGTTAGGGAGAAGGGAGGAGACACCCCGCATCACTGGTCTCCAGCAAGGTGACATCCTGTGGGGCTCCTGCAGACCCCTGCCCTGGCCTGTGGTGACTCAGTGGACCCTGACTGCTCTCCTGGAGGAACGCCCTCCCTTTCTCCATGACCCAGGCCTCCCTCCGGGCACATCAGGATGGCGTCAGGGCGCGTCCTCCCTGCGCAGCAGAGCCCGCCCCTCCCCGCTCTTCCTGCCTGCCAGTGCGGGAGCCATCCCTAGGCTCCTTCCTTTGTATTTACAATAAGCTTGAACTTCCTCTGAGAAATTTCCAAGGCTACTTAACCACCTACTAATGCCAGTAAAGTGCCTGAAGTTCTCTTCCAGAACATTCTCACCTACTTCATGGTCTTGTACTACATATTAACCAAGATGGATCTGGCTTAACTGAAAAATGTTTAATGGTCCTTTGTTCAGTGATTTCATCCTTCGTTCATTCATTCATTCATTCAGTTTTTGCAGGTGGGTCTCAGTGGCCTCACTCTCGGGCTCCAGCCATCCTCCTGCCTCAGCCTCCTGAGCAGCTGGGACTGCAGGCACCTGCCCCTGCGCCCAGCTGCAGACTCCACTTTCAGCACAGGGAGCAGGAGATCCCTGGCTCTTGTTCCTTGCAGTCTTGAGAGCAGCTCGTTTCTGCCTGAGCGCCTGTCCTTCCTGTCCTTCCCTTACAAGAAGCAGCAAAGAGCAACAGGAGACTGTGTTCAGTCCATGCAGGCTGCTGGCCGCCTCAGCTAACTAAGGACTGTGGCTCCCCCTTGCAGGTTGTCAGCAACACCGTCCCAAATGGGACCCCAGCCCAGCTCTCCAGCTCTTCGCCTGCTATAGGGTCTGCCCAGCCTGCGGGGCCAGGCCTAGCCATAGTTTATGTCACAGCGCTTCTCCTCCCAGTGACTCTCTTCAGGTTTATAGTGGGCGTGTGTTCCCGTAGGAAGTTCCGCTTCCTGCTCAGCTGTTCCCAAAATTGAGGACAGTGACACAGAGTCTCTTGGGAAGTGAACTAGCCAGAGCCAGGTGCTTAAATGTGGGAGAGAAGGAACCCGGACAGTTCTCAGGAGACCTTTTTTGTGTTCAAGTTGCAGGATTTAGGGGAAGCTAGAGAGCCCTTGGGACTGGGACAGTGGCCTTCCCATTGCCAACACCCAGTGATTCTCTTGGTTCCTTGATGGTCTATCATGGGTCGCAGGGTGATGGTCCCCATCGTCCACTACCATGCAGAGGGCCTGACCCTTGGGATCCTACCATCACCCACTGCAGTGTCT